TCTTTCTCCTTCTCCACCACTTCTATAATTTCCTTTTCCCCTAAAATTTATTTTTCTTTCTTCCTCTTCCCCTCAGTGTAAGGGGTAACTATATGTTTGGAAGACTTCATCATTCCTTTTGCTCTACTTTTTTTAAGGGGCGCAGACACCTTTCCATCCCTCTTTTTCTTATTCATTTTTATAATAAGAGGAACATCTTCGTCCTCAGAAAATATGTCAGTTTCTGGTGGAGGGACTTTCGCTACTTGATGACAAGGGACTTTCCTCACAATGTCAATACCAGTTACGCAGCGTGGAGTGTCTGATTCAAAAAAAAGAACATTTAAAATATAATTATAAAAAACTTAACAACAGCTATCTAACCTTAGCAACTAACCCATATACTTAACAACCAATCGATAAACTTAACAATCTATCTGTAAACTTAACAACAAATCTGTATACTTAACAATCAATTTATATATTTAACAACCAATCTTTAACATTCACAATAAATTTGTAACCTTAATAACAGATCCCTAACTTTGACAACCAACCTGTAACCCTAACAACCAATATCTAACCATAACAACCAATTTGTAATTTTAAAACCTATGCAATATAACTCATAAGTAATAAAAAAGAATCTAACCCGTACATGTTTGCAGCATTGGGCTAGACACCTCTCCAGTCAGCTCCCTCTTTTCCTTATTTATTTTAAAAATAAGAGGAACTTTTTCATCCTCAAAAAATATGTCAGCTTCTAGTGGAGGGACTTCCTCTTGGCGATGACCTTCTATCTTCATTTCAATGTTAGTAGTATCATGTTAATGGAAATCTTCTGTTAGAGGGACTTCCCTTGGTCGAGGGACTTCTCTCTCAATGTTAATGTCAATGCCATCCATGTTGCGTGGAGTGCCTGATTCAAAAAAAAGAACATTCAAAATATAATTATGAAAAAACTTAACAACATGTATATAATCTTAATTACTAACCCATATACTTAACAATCAAACGATAATCTTAACAATCAAACGATAAACTTAACAACCAATCCATAAACTTAACAATAAATCCTGTATACTTAACAATCAATCCGTATACTTAATAATCAATCTCTATACTTAACAACCAATGTCTAACCTTAACAATAAATCCGTAACCTTAACAACAGATCCTTAACTTTGACAACCAATCTTTAACCCTAACAACCAATATCTAACCATAACAATCAATTTGTAATTTTAACAACTATGCAATATAATTCACAAGTAATGAAAAAAATCTAACATGTATAAGTTTGCAGCTCCATCGCTCAGCTGAACATCTCTCCAGTCAGCCTCTTGTTCTTATATACAGTGAGGCTTCTTCATTAGGCATCGCTTAGCTCCTCTCTCAGCCTCCTCACCCGTGCAGACAGAGAACCCCCTTTTACAGAAAGAGAAGTTATCTCTAGTCGGTCGGTAACAATCTGATCTCTGAATTTTCTCTCATCGTCGCGACGTAATTTTTTATTCATTATCGCGATGCACTTCCAATAGATCACTTGCTGAGGCAATTCCATTTGATCAACTGGCTCATTGTGCTTTATCGCTTCGTCAACGTTATGTGGTATAATCTATGCAATGGACAGATACAGTATTATTAAAAAAGAATAACTAAAAACATTTAAAATTCACAACTACTATAGTATTTATCCATCCTTCTAAAATAAGATCATCTTCTGCTCCCCCATTTCTTTTTGGGAAGAGGCTGTCTTGGGCCACGTGCCCTACCGGCGTCTCTTACAGCCGGTTCCTTATTCTTATCCCCCTCTCTCTTAATCTTCTTCTCTTCTTCTTCTCTTTCTCCTTCTCCTGCTCCTTTCCCCACAAACTTCCCTCACTACTTTGAACTTGGCACTGGAACTGTGGAAGCTGTATAGTAGCTTTTCTTGCTTTAGCTATAGCAATGGCCAATCTCAAAGATCCTGCTACATCTCCTAGTTTCACCTAATTTGTGAGGGGAGGCCGCAATGTACTTCCAATTACTAGCTTCTTGATTTTAATAAGTTCATAGTACCACAACTACAAATGAGAGAAATAGAATCTTAACAAACACCCCTTAACCTTAACAACAAATAAGCAACCATAATAATAAATCCATAACCTTAATAATAAATAAGCAACCTTAACAATAAATAAGCAACCATAACAATAAATCAGTAACCTTAACAACCAACCCGTAATCTTAATAACAAACCCATAACCTTAATAGCTAATTTGTAAGCTTAACAACCAATCTGTACCCTTAACAATAATTAAGCAACCAAAACAACAAAACAATAACCTTGACGGCCAATTTGTATATATAATAACTACCAACTATACTTATGAACTAAACCCTAACCTTCACAATCAATATTAAAAAGGTAAGATTACTTACACAAATAAGCTGGGTACACCCTTACAGATCTACAATTGTCTTCCCTGGCCCAGGATCCTTTAGTGTATTTTTTATCGCATCAAATGTCTCATTGAATATATAGATCCCCCAAGCAGTGTTATTGGCCTGTTCGATATTGTCAACATACTTGAATAAATGCCTAGGAACGCCAAGAACACTACTTGGATAACAGATCATGTTCAGCTGATAGATGATCTGTAGCAGGACAAAGTCTTTCACACTCAACGATCAGTTGATTGTACAAGCTTCATGAGCAGATTCTCAACATGGCGTCTAGTGGGGGCTGGAGGAGGAGCTGTACTGCTGTCACCCTCAGGTTTGATAAAAACCCTAGACCAAATCATGTTCTTCCTATCTCGGTTGGGGCCAACAAGATCCCCCTCATTAGAGAACCAGGTATGACTCATTACCCACTCAAGGTTGAATGAGCATGTGATGTCTTATCCAAATTTTGTATCCGTGAAGACGAATTTCATCTTGTTCTCGTCCCACGGTCTCAATACGTGCTCAAAAGTGGAAAGATCAAGACCAGGAGGGCCAAAATAAACGTAGTGTCTGAGTACACTATCTTCGTAGGCCTGCCAGTGCCTTTGCCCCATATGTTGCACTAAAGTGTGCATGAATTCATACTAGGCAGTGAAGCTGGAAGTGGGTTGCGGCTCAGATGGGACTTTGCCCTTTGTCTACAAAGCAAAACCACAAGGCATAAATAGTTTGAAAATAATTTGTAAACATAACAATTATGCTATAAACTTGACAAAGAAACTATAAACTTAACAACAAATCCATAAACTTCACAACCAAATACGATCCTCAACAAGCAACCAATAACATTAACAATAAAAGCCCTTACAAGTTAACAGTAACATTCACAATGAATAGCCACAAGTAAACAGTAACATCTATCGCATAATCTTAACAACTAATTGGCCACATGTCACAACTAAACAGTAAGCATCACAACAGATCAATAACCTTAACAACTAATACATAACCTTAACAATAATAAGCATAACCTTAACAATAAAAGCATAACCCTTACAAGTTCACAATAACATTCACAACTAATAGGCACAGGTAAACAGTAACTTCCACACCTAACAGACACATGTCAACAGTAACATTCACAACTAACAGCCGCATGTAAACAATAACCTTCACAATAGACTCATATCCTTAACAACTAATATCACCCTTGTCATAACTAAATAGTAACCTTCATAATAGATCAATAACCTTAACAACTAATGCATAATCTTAACAATGAATGAATTTTCTTAACAACTACAAGCTAGCCTTCACAACTTAACTGTATCCTTCACAATTAACACATCTAGTAATATGATAAACAACATAAAAAATGACGGTAAAAATTACTTTTTTTGCTGCCATATGCTTCTCTTTAGCTCCTCTCTGTAGATCCAGGAGCGCTCTAGAGGCATCGTCGGTGCCGCCGGTGGTGCCAGTGCTGCCTTTTAAATCTATGTGTTGGCCTGTCTTTTTAGGTTGAGCTAGACTTTTTCTATGATAATGGCTGGCTGCGATGTCCTCTAGAACACCAGCAATTGAAGCGCCAGCTTCAGACCACTCTGCTGTTGTCTGGGGTCTTTTTGAGACGACATACTATGACGCGTCGTCGTGTTCGCTGAATTCAATGGGGACGACTGCTTTGAGAGTTGTCTCGCCAGCCATTTTTCTGATTAATCTCTAGAGTGGGATGATTTAAAGGTAGGGTTTTGTAATGGGGAAAATGCTCTGGATTCGGTTTGCTTGGATAGAAGAAAGATGAAATGGCACGAATGACGAAGAAGAGTTTAGATAAACGGGAGGCGGTTAAATCAAAGGGTATTTTGAAAAGATTTTGTTGGTTTTAAACGTCGGGTCACGTGGGGAGGGGTTTTGGGGGCTATAGGAAAATCGCACGAGATTTTGGGCGCTTTGGGACCGTTGACAAAGTCTTGGGGGGGCGGAACACTTGGACTCGTTTTGGGGGCTAGAAGCAATTTTCCCTAAAAAGAAAGGTATTAGTTTGGTACACTAAACAAGTAAATTATAATTAAAAAGTTACAAAATGAGAAAATATAAAAGAAAAACAATTAAAAGCCAACTAATATTATTCTCTCTGGGGGACCGGCGTCAGAGAGGTTTCTCCTTCTGGAAGGAAAAAATGAGTACATGAGAAATGTCCGCGGACCCATCAATCATCATGTATTGTGAGCTTCAAAGAATCTCCAGTTGAGCGTCGTCACGAGTGATAATATACAGTGTCGCTCATCTGCAGCGCATGCAAAATTACTTACTGCGGTAAAACCTAGGTGGAGAGGCTAAACTAGCTAGCGCTCACTTTACCTAGAGAGACAGCGCATTGTACTTTGCATAGCACAGACTATAAAAAATTCAGCTGCACTCTGTAGACCCTAATGTTTTCCCCTTTACATACACCCTTCATCAATATGATATCGCCAACCTTTTTACACGTAACTTTCTGATCACCATCTCGTCTCTTGTTACTGATTACTCCACAAACAACACCAAATAATGGAGAAAGAAGATGATGAAGGGTCATGCAACTGTTTCTTCTATGCTATGAGAGAACCAAACCCTCATAAGCGCCACTCTGCGCTCTCAAGATTCTTCGGTAAAATGCCCTGTCAAGAGCACGAAGAAGATGTTCTCGTAATGAGCAGCCTCTGGAGCATTGCCATGAACCACCCCGACGACACAGAGCTCCCCTCCGTCGGCGTGCTGAGATGCATGTCTCTCCTCATCCAAAAAGGCCTCTCTGACCCTTCATGGCTCCATCGACATCAAAACATCTATATTCCTTACTACGCAGCCCATGTCATCGGTTCGTACACTATAAGTCTCCCTTCTCTCGCTTCCCTCGCAGTTGAAGCCGGCGTAATCGCTCCTCTTCTTGGTCTATTTAGCGGCCGAATGACATGGGTAGAACAGCGGGTCGCAGCCCGTGCATTAGGCCATCTTGCTAGCTACGACTCAACGTTCCCTAAAATTGCCAGGCACGGTGAAGAGATTTTAAGACTCGCCATGAGAATTTCATCTACATGTATTAATACTGTCTATGAAAAGTTTCTTGTTGCGAAAAAGCGTGAGAAGTATCATTGTGACTTGCTGACCAGAGGGCTTGGAGGGGTACAGATGGAGGACAGGAAGGCTGAGGAGTGGGCAAGCCAGCTGCAGTGCTGGTCAATATACCTATTGAGTTGCTTTGCATGGAGAGAGAAAAATTACCATAGCTTGATTTGTGAGGATTTAAGGTTCTTAAGAAAACTGTGCAGAATGTGGGGAGGGATGGTGAATGGAGATTCACCGGCCGGTGTTGGGCTAATGAGGATTCTTTGCCGGAGCGAGGTGGGGAGGGAGGCGATGGCAGGGTGTTCAGAAGTCATCGATAGCCTCTGTAGCCTTTCGAGATCGTCTGATGACTGGCAATATATGGGCATCGATTGCCTTTTACTGCTTGTTAATGACCCGAAAACAAGGCCTAAGGTTATGAGCATTGCTTTAACTTGTCTTGTCGACTTGGCTGAGCTTGACAGCCTCGGCAACCGTCAAAAACTCGGCGATGCCATCACCAAGGCACTGTTGTTAGATTTTAAGGGCAAAGGGAAGGATAAAAGGATTGAAAGTTTGTGGGAACTGAAGGTTCACAGATATCAGAAAGAAGAAGCAATGACAGAGGAAGAGCTAGAGAAGCAACGTGCAGTATCTACGACAAAGAAGCAAGAAGGAAATGAGAAATTTTGGTCAGGTGACATTGAAGAAGCTATCGTTCTATACACTGAAGCACTAGAGCTGTGTCCCTTAAGGAGGAGGAAGGAAAGACTGGTGCTATACAGCAATAGAGCGCAGTGCCACTTATTGGTGCAAGAGGTAGATAAAGCAGTAAGCGACTCGACACGGGCCTTATCTCTGTCGAGGCCAGCAAATTCGCATAGCAAGAGCCTGTGGAGGAGGGCACAGGCTTATGATATGAAAGGGATGCCGAAAGAGAGCTTATTGGACTGCATCATGTTCATAAATGGGCAATTCAATAAGAGGAAAGGGAAGGGTAGCATGAGATCCAAGGTTCCTTATTATGCTGTTCGGATGATCAACAAACAGATGACTGCTGCTGGGCTCTTTGCCAGTGCAATTATGATGAGCAGTAACCCAGTGGAGAGTGAAAACATAAATCCTAGATCAGGTGAGACTTATGAAATACAAGATATTTTCATGCTGTGGTTTTCCTTATATTATCTAACAAATAATGGTTAATGTTTTAGGATTGGGTCTGCCTACTATTGAAGAAGATGATGAAGAAGAAATTGGCTTCTTTTTGTATGAGAATCCCAACATGGGCCTATTGCCAAATATGAGGCAACTGCAGAGTGAACAGACAAGTATAACATGAGATGTGCTAAATGTCAGTAGAGCTCCAATGTCCGCACACCTTGTAATGGTCTAGTTTTCTAATATAGAAAATCCTAAGAGTGGATTTAGTATAGAAGTTGAGATGTCATTTCTGCGGAGAATATGAATTCTGATGGTATGGGTGATGATCTAAAAATACACATTTACAGTCGGACAATTTTAGTATTGAAGAAGCAAGTTGTAATATATACATATGAGATTCAACCACACGTATGAGAGAATTCTCTCCCATGTGACATGATACCGTAACACGCATGTATAAAACATACACAGTCGTGTGTGGGCGTACATGTTACATGTGTGTACGCACACACATACATAAATACGTACATATACATATACATATATGTACGTGTATATACATATACATATGTATGTACATATACATCATATACATATACAAAAGTATTAAACACACATACTTACGGAGGGAACTGGAGGAGAGCTGACAGCTAAGGAAGAAGCTGAAATTTTCAGAAAGAACATTAGAAGCCCAAACCATGAACAGTAACAAATAACAAGAAGATTTGATGTATGCATTGGATGTGTGACTAACAGATAAAAGGACCTACTGATGGTCGAAACATCCCCAGTTTCAGAAATAAACAAATAAACATCATCAGTGTATATCCAATGCTTTTCGGGAAATATTACTAGTCCATTCTTTTTAGCGCTCACAAACATTTAGTCCTTTTATGTTGTCAACATTTCAAATCTTCCATTCTATAGTCAAGAGGCATAAAAGAGCTCTAGTTCCAGCAATTGTAGAAGATGCAATTAATGTTCCTAGTCTCAAGTTTCACTTCAAATTCGATCTCACTATGTATACGTTTTTTAACGTAAATTCGTAATTTGTAAAATAAAAAAAAGACTTACTTATCAGAGCAAGAAGCCAATCAATCAACTATTTTGTTTAGATGATAAACCCCAGTATGTGAATCCTAAAGAAAAGCTTTGTAGATCCTCATAGAGACAACTGAAATGGTGACAGAAATAATTCGACTTATAAAGAGAATAAATGAGAATTTAACGATAAACAATATGTGAAACTAAGTGTGAGCAATTCAGGCCAGAAACATTATCTAACTCCAGGACTACCTACTGTATATATGTTTTGAAAAAAAAATAACTAGAAAAATAAAAAGATTTAACTTGCAGCAATGGTAAGAATGCAAACAAATATTTAGAAAACCTTGCACGCTCAGATTCCAAAATGCTAATGAATATCGGAAGTCTCACTACACTCCTTGAAGTTCTTCAATGACCTCTCCATATTCGCAGAATGTACTGAAATGCTGCTCCCAGGAACTCCCAAAACTTCAAAAAAAATATATCACCCTTGGCTTCCAAATGCACCGTGGCAACACTTTTTCCATAACATACAAAAATTTACTTGTTGATGTTATACAATCACACAGATAAATTGTTAGGAACTTGGTTAATTAGGGGCCTCTAACTTTTCTGCATATCTGGTTTGGAGTTGAGCTATTCCTCCCTTGTGTAGCAACTTGTAAGAGGGCGGGGTTTGATTACCCCCGTGTTGGGAATAGTTTTCCCTTTTATGGTCATGAAGGAATGGCATTTTGGTCTCTTTGGTCTGGTATGGACCGGCGGCTGAGTCAACGTCGGCTTTACAGGTGTCGGCTAGGGAGCAGTCGTGGAATAGGGAATGTCACTTCGGCATTAATGAGATAGAATAGGCGGCATGCGAAGCCGGCGTAGTCTGATATGCCATAAATAGTGCCGGAGATGGAGAAATGATGGCGCATGTCAAGCATTTAATGTGATGTCGACGCGCTGTCAGCGGGGGGCTCGAGGTCGCAGTGGCCTTTTGTCTTGTATTGAGGGGTTTCGAGACGTACCGCCTTTCTAGTCGGCTCTCGTGAGATGCCGGTCCAATAACTAGTTGAGTAGGCTTGCGGCGAGTCGTCCTTGACGAGAGGACCGACAAGTACCGCCTTTTGAGTCAACCCAGCGGGATGTTGACTCGGCGAGTCGGCTAGATCGAGACCCTGGCTGTCCCAGATGTCGAGTCGACCAAATTAGACGTAATGGGGGATATTTGTCTATTGTTGACAAGAGATCATAATTTGGCGACTGAAAACACCACGACGTTACTATATTTTGTTTTGTTCAGCATGTGAAATTGAAAAATGTGCACTGTTAATGTAGTGAAAAGAGTATCTTGGTGATGCTCAGGGTTTAACTTGGTGGTAACAAAACAATTGTCCGGATAGTATCCTCATTCTTCTGCTGATGGATGTAAACAGCCGGCACCAAAAGAGCAGGCATCTGACGTGCTTGGTCAAAATGAACCGCACGTCTTCCCCCCATAAAAAAATTTCTAACTACGAAACAAAATGCAAGCATGCGAGGCGGAAGAGAGAGAAGACAAAGACATGCCAGGACCACAAAAGCATAATAGGGGCATTTGCCTAACTTCAAGTACCCAAGGCAAAATGGTAAGCAACAAGTGTTAGCTTAATTTGTTCACTAATAATCCTAGATAAGTTGTGCGTCGAGAGATTCGTCCGGATATAGCGCTATATAAGATTGTATTCAAATTCGGGTCTTGGTTCGCCACGCCTTTTTCTTCTGTTTTTTTTGGACGGAAGCAAATCACCACCTTTCTCTTTGTGCGCTTCTCCTAACTCCACCTGTAATATAAAAATAAATTAGTACTACTTTCAGGCATCCATAGATTCCATCCTTTTAATAAAGCCATGTGTGTTTAGGAGATTAAATAAACGAAGTGATTGTAGCTTCTACGCAAAGTAGATCTATTATTCCACAAGGTCACTGACTAGTTAATTAAATTAATATTAGTAGCCTAATTCGATTGATTAGCTATAGGGTTAGGCGACGCCAATCTTGACATTAGCCACGGCTTAAACCCCGCCTAAACCAATTCTGACCATCCATTTCATGCCCTAAGCATTGCTTTGTGTTTAATTCATTGTGGAAACAAAATACAAACAAGGGTCGTAACTTGTATGGAAGAGTTTTTTACGGTCCTACGAAAATGCAGCACAATCGCCTACAAAAAAGGCATCCCAGTGGAAGTGATTAATTATTTCTACGAAACACTTTCATGTAATCACAGATTCTACGAGAACTGGTCGGTGTTATTGACTGTATGTTTTGTATTCGTTTTGTCTCTTTGCCGTGACGTGTGATTAAAAGTTGAATATGCGTCCCTATATAATTTCTATATCATCTTTAGATATTAGAGGGTTAGCCCTTACTTCTCGAGCTTGAACTATACGACCAATATGATACGTCCTTCAACCTGTACGTACACTGGCTTGCTGGTGTTAGTAAAATAACGGAGGAGATAGAAATTATGAGGCGCGAAACACTTTCCTTAAAGAAATATTTGCTCCACTTGATATTCAGATTTACTTCGGGTTAATGCAAATTTTCTTCCCATGATACAACAGAAAAATTAAAAATTTTAACAAGCAAATCTGAAAATTTCCAACAGTTCTTTGTGAAACGAGCTTGTAGCATTGCAGATGTTTTTGAGGGAAACATTTTGTGAAAGAAGTCAATTTTGATGTCTGAAATCATAGACTATTTATAAGTTTGAAAAATTATTTTCAACAGTAATAACTTTTCAAAGCACTCTTTGAAAAAAAAATAATCGCTTTTTAACAGTCTTCTTTCAACAGTCTTTGCCTTATGATATTTTAATAATTTAAAAATCTAAAATAACAATAACAGTAATAAAGAAATAGTGTATTCAAAAATATATATAGTAATTAAAAAGTTAGAATATTTAAGTGGCAGCGACAAATTGCAAAGTGTGTCTAATATTGGCTTCAAAATTATGCATTATTCGCGCTACCTGCACACGAGTTTAGAGGTCTATTCTTTGACCTATTTATCAAAGCCTAATAATCATTAAATCTTTTTAAACCTCTAAAAGAATGCTCAAATATCTGATGTGGGACTATCTTTTTTTACAAACAAATACTAACAAGCCCCCACTTTGTTTGGAAAAACATTTTTTTTAAATATTATTTTATTTAAAAATAATCTGCAATATGTACAAAATGAGATAAATATACATACGTGAAGGTATCTTTCGATTTAAACCTTTACTTGGTACAAACACTTTAAAGTTTTATCAAGGTCCTTGGTTGTCTTAACATTAAACTAATTACTCTTTGTGATAGAACCAGAGAATATTGTACATATACTAATCTCTTATTTTAATGAGAATTAATATTTTAGCATTGTTATGGCCTTGTGCTTATTCCCACTTCATGAACTCTTTAAAGAGCAATCCTTTAGCCCATTTAAGAAGCGGCGCCACTTCTAAGTTCACATAGGTGAAACATCTATAATATGTTTTCTATTACTTTAAACGCACAAATTATGCATCAGACTTTCATTAAGAGCACAACTCATCCGATTATTCCGCAATGGACGATATTGACATCATCTTTTAGGGCTTAATGTGTCAATATCAATCAATCACTTTTCAAAAACTTTTTATTACCTATTTAAACCTTTTAACAAGTTCAATTCTAGTAAATGGTCAGGTTACCATTCATGGTGATCTTAAAAACAAGTTTCCAGCCCCATTGTAAAACCCCGTAAATTTTAATTAACATGTGATAATTTGAAATAATATGCGATTAATTGAGATAAGTGCATATTTATTGTAATAAATATTATTAAATAGTGTATGCATATGTTAGCAAGTGTTTTGAGTTCAAACAAGTCCGTATATGTGAAAGAATCGAGTCGAAAACATACACAAAGGCAAAACCTGCACAAACTGGAAATATGCGTGCCGGTCGACCGCCGCACAACGCACAAGTCACGGTCAACCGCCTGACGGGTTTCTAGTTTTTCCTATTTTGAGTTGGTTTCGGGTTTTCTTGAGGCTCAGTTGCACATAGGTGTTTATATAGTATTTTTTTCACGAAAATTCTCATCTTATTTCAGAGTTTTAAAACCCTAGCAGCCACCAAACCATCTTTTAAACCCTAGATCTTATTTTGTGAGAGTTCAAGAGCTTTTGAAGTGGGATTTTGATTTGGTTTTGGCGTGTGGCTTAGGGATCTGCCTTGGCTTTGCATCCTTCACGTTTTCAACAAGTTTTCAGGCGAGTTTCATCTTTGCTAACCCTACTCCCATATTTTTAAATGTTTATTGAGTTTTAATGTGGTTTTATTGAGCCAAATCAACTATTTTGAGTACAAAAATAGTTCTTTTATAATATTTGAGTTAAAGATCAAATCTTGTTGTTCTTAGTTGATTATAAACAAATTTTTAGAGGTAGTTTAAGATCTAAAATTGACTAAGCAAGAGTTTTAACGGCATTTTGATGTTTTACACGACGTGTTGAGGCTTTTACACATGTTTAGGGTTTGTAGAAGTTATCCCATGCAAATAAATCTTGTTTTATGTGTTTAATAATCTTCAGAGATGTTAATTTAGTGTTTACAATGTTTTATTCAAGTTTTATAATGATTTAAACAAGTTAGAATCACGAAACACGCACCGAACATAAAACTACAAAATTACAGTTCACAGGTCTCTGGCCGCTGGCCAGTCGACCGCGGCCTAAGTGCCGGTCGACCGCCAATGTATGTAGGCCTTGTGCATGTTGTGACTCAATTTGTTGTTAATCAAGGGATTTTTCTCGATTGACCTGCATTGTTCTAGGGTGTTTATGATTTGTTTAACACCTGAAATGTTTGTGAACATGAGATATTGACCCGCACATCGAGATATGTGCACGAACACATGAATACATGTTTTGAAATTGAGTATACATGCTTATTTGAGATGCATAACACATGTTTGAGTTGATAGTTGTTAGTATAACACATGATCA